AACCATAGGACCGTGCTACTAAATAGGGATATTATTTCATCAAAAAGAGATAAAACAAATTAATTAGCAAAATCTAACTCACATGCGTTGTTTATGAGCTGGTTAATTTAAAATGGCGCAGCCTCACACTAGATTAATACGTAGTAGAGCCATGCCTCAGCTATATTAGTAGTATAGTTGTAGCAAGCATAGCTCGGCTTGACCGGGGAAGGAGCACGGTCTCACAGAATACCAGCGTATAATAGCAGCTTAACACTGCTGTGTTTTGTATGGTGAGTGTAGAGAACTGGAGGCCCTTTTTACTGGATAAGAGGCATTCCATCTTAATCCTCACGGATGACAACGCATCTGCATTTTAAATTCTTTATTGAGGATAGATGTAGACGTCTATGTCTCACAGCAACCACTAACCATCAGGTGGACTGTGTGCTCGTTTGTCATCCTATTCTGTAAAAAAAAGATGTAGTGACGAGCTGTTAAGAGATTTAATTAGATTATGGATGCAGATGGCTTGGGATCGTACATTGTATTATTGCTTGGGGGAGGCCTATGTTCAGCGGTTGACCTGTGAAGGGCTGTAACAATACAGCATTCTGTTATCTCCATACCTTCCGAACCGGATTACAACATAGGATGCTCTGCCACTTGGTTAAATATTAAGAAGACTGGTACCTACCGAGATGGAGCACTAGCTATAAAAGTACTATTTAAAAGTCATAATTAAAATATTATGTTATGTATGAATTTAAAAAAAAATATAATTGATAAAAACATTTCTTCAGTTTTCTGCTCATAAGACAAACGTAAATAGATTTTATCGATTTTTTTTTCATTTATGTATTCTTTGATATTATAATAACTTTGTACAATTTTTTTTAACTAAAATTGTAAGAAATAATTCAACTTCTGATGTTATAAATTATTCTCAAAATTATTTAAATAAAAGAACACTACTCGGTAAAAACCCTGCTTAATATCAGAACCTAATTACATGATAACACCAAAGTATGCAAACCAACAGCAATACCACCCATCTTAATGTAACACATGGCAACGTCTCAGCAACACGATCTTCCATGCCTATACTAGTAGAATACCTTAACGGGCATACTAACGACAATGAGAATCGTAAAATTACCGACTGATGCCTCTTAGTCACCTGTGCGATACCTTATACTGCTAAAACGAGTGGAAGATTACCAGTCTACCTTCATTTGTTCGCATATTCTTTTATTTTTTTTACCCTCATTCCCAACAAGACCTCTTCTGTCAGGAGTCCGTCTTCGGGCTCTCTTTAGCAAAAATATCATTCTCCATCAACGGCATGGGGAGTACAAGCACCGCGTAGGTCACAGGTCACAGCACAACGTGTCGTCTGTGTAAATCATAGGCACTACGTTCACACAACCACAATGCTGCTGTTTCACGCTGGTAGCCGATCAATTCGTACTGCAGCCATAATATAGCTGCAGCGTGGCTCTACCATGTATTCAGTATCATGGGGACTACAACACATTTATATCGAAAAACAATCTGTGTTTGTGCATTGTTTAAATTTCGGCTCTGACTGAGATTCTCATATGTTAACACACTACAATTTAAATATTTCACGTAATTTATAACAAAAAGAATCGCAATATTAAGATAGTTTAGCCTTATTACCAATAAATCCAAAGAACCTGGAAACTTTTCTACCGTAAGATAAGAAATTTTTCACATTCTTTATTTAAATGACTTTTTAATTTTGAGATAAATAGTTAAATAATGGATCTTAGGTGATAGTTAGTAGTTGTTTCTAACTTGAACTTTATTACTAGGGAGTGGGTCGTCTGAGTAGATACCAACCTTATTTTTACCGCCAAATAGCAATGTTTGTACTGCTTTGTCTTAGTATAGATCCAATAAAATACAGGCTGCGAGATATTTCATCTTAGTACTCAGAGGTGACAACGAATAATAGAAAAAATGGGAGATATTTATTAGGCCATTTCTTTGCAAATTTTTGAGCACACTGACAATTCAATATGACATTATATGAAGCATTAGATTGCTTATGTATGCTGCGTCAGTCGTCAGTTAAGTCCTAGATGAATTTGAGCTGAAGCTAACTGGTATATAAGGTGCGGAAACACTACATATATCTAACGGGCTAGTAGATTTTTCTTGTAGTAGGTATTCTTTGTCTTATGCGAGAGGGTTTTCTTGCCTACGCTACACGATAACATGAACGCGCTACTGATAATTAGCATATTATTATTAATGATTTTTAAATAGATTTAATAGCGAGCGCTGCACGCCATTTCTGATCTGGACTCGAATAATACAGATTCGCGGCCACGTTCCTTTAATATTTAGGTGAAAATTTAGATTAAATTAAAACCTATAACACTTCGCGCCATTTTCTACGCGGTAATATTGTGATTGTTACACGAAAGGTTCCTAAAAATCTATATAAATTTAGTTGCAACCTCAAGGGTGTTAAAATAGAGAATGAAGTTATTAAAGTCAATATTTAGACGACATCGAGATTGTGATATTCCTTAGCCCACTCAAAAGCGTAAAAATGTAAGTTTACGGATTTTATCGCGTTTATTTACCTTATTTTTAATTCCCCACGTGTCAGGTGCCTTGCACGGAGGTCACGAGTGGAGGAGGGGGGAGGGACAGAGATGTTTGACGTCCCGATGTCATAGTTAGCCCAGCTACCTTCAGGTTTTGAATATTATTTTTTGGTCCGATACGCACATACTACGCAGAACGAGCTTTCAGTGTCTTGAAGTCTTTGGGTTTGGATTTAATGTTGTTAATTGTTGAAGAGATGGCACCCATCCATTTTTTCTATTGAAATAAGGATTTTTTTTTTACTTTTAATAGCCTCGCATATTCTTGGTTAGAATCGGTGTTTTTTGCGAGTAGTTTTATTAGATTTGTAAATATGAGAAATCAGTAAAATCTGACTTCACACTTCTGAAAAGATAAAGAAAATTTTACCTTGTGATGTCTAGGCTAATTTTACACAAACAAATTCTCTGTCTTGATTCAATTTTGGGTCGGGTTTATCATAGTCGCCAGAGGTGACAATACATTTACATTTTATTGGTCTACAGCATCCACTTGCCATCAGGTGGTGCACGTTTGTATATAATGTTTATGTTTGTTTTATAAAAAAATGTCCTAAAGTCCAAATTTTGGCCACGACAGCCAGTTTCAATGGAGTTGCCATCTACTTAGGACAGGATTTTATTAACTAAGTATATGCGCAAGCACATTTGCAATCTCTATTCCCTCATTCTCATAGCCTGATAGGAAGGCAATCGTACGCGACTGGAAAGATTTTAGGCGCTGGATCAACGGCTTGACGTGCTTTCCGAGTCACGGAGATGATAAAACTTCGACTCCGAAAAACAAAATTCTTTTTGGCCCGATCTGGGATTCAAACTCCTCATGCTCAACAGTCACGTTTATACAAGATCTACCAGGCAATCATAAACATAAGTTAAAAAAAATCGAAAGTGATATGGAAAAGACAGGATTTTTTTAATTATTATATTTGCTAATTGTAGTGTCTCGAAATTTATTGCAAATTGGGCTCTTTTGTTACATCTTTAGATAAGGCACGTCTACACTCAGGTCAAGGGCTGTCAAAAGCACTCCAAAGTGTCACTTTCAGTGTACAGAAATGCCTAAATATAACCTACAACGGGTAATTTGCTTATTTTGTAGCAAATTATCACGAAGTTGAATTCTCAATCGAATTATTATTTTGACTATGGAATTTTCTTAATCTATAGCAAATAATTACGAACTGCTGTCGTACAGAAAATTCACCACCTCGTTTCAACACATCAGTGTCAAAGGAGGCGACCATACATATTCCTAAAACTTGTGATGGCTTTCGATAAAAGATGGTATAACATTTTAAATGATTAGATAGGCATTAAAAAATATAAGGCAGGCGCTGTTTTCCATCTCTTGGTTTGTTTCCCTCTGTCGCCTTTTACGAGATTCACAGGACTATATGAGGTATTGGACTTCCTTACCCCGCCACTACAACTTACAGTCTACCTTATCGTTGGCGGCCACTTCAGCCAATTGAACCTGCCACCAACTTCAAATAAAGAAGGTTACAGATACACAGATACTCTACATACAGCCTGTAATTTTGTAACCTTTCTAAATCATTCCGACTGGCTCAGCATTTCAAGCACTGCCATTTGGCGGTAGAAATTGATAAGAGAGTGACAAACTCCTAGGCAGAAAATAAGTCTTACCATCTCGAACCTCACCAAAACTGTAATTTTATATGTCTCTGACATTCCTACTAATATTGTAAATGCGCAAGTGTGGTTTTTAGTTCGTCCTTCTTTCACGCAATAACAGAGCAACGTATCGACATGATTTTTTGCATATAGTTTATGTACCGGAAAGTGACATAGGCTACGTTTTATCCCGATAACAACCATTCCTATAGTATTGCTTTTTAGCATGTAGCAATTTTCTACGTGTAATCTCTCTGCACTCTTGAGTGAAAAAAAGTAACAGTACTTGTGTGTTTTAAATTTGAGTTGAGTATGTAATAAATGAACAACCTACTACAGACCCTAAAATATGATTTGCATTATTTTATTAGTTTTTTTCATGTTTAATTTCAATTTGAACTCCACGTAACATCACTAATAGAAATTTTTGAAATTCAGTGTTTGGGTGCAACAACAAAAATGTTATTTCCGATTTTTGAAAATTATGCCATTTCCCAACCTCCAAACGGGTGAAGACGCGAGCAAATGCTAATACATAATGAAATTCCAGTATAATTGTGTAATGCGTAAGAAAATTTTCTAGTGAATTAAAATAATTTGATGATATTCATGTGCAATGCTTGTGAGTGAGTTGAAGTCGCAATGGGCCGACAACCAGTGGGGAAGAAATGTTCTCAAGTGGCAGCCTTATAATAATAATAATAATAATCTCCTCGACCGATTTCGGCCACGGCGACCTCTTCAGCTCCGATCTTGTCGTTGGTGTGCTCGTGCATGGCTAACGTAGCCGATCTTATTTACAAATGTTCGCGTGCAATGCGGGCAGGTGAGCACACCATTACAGAAATTATAGTTAATCGCACAAGGTGGGCGTGCTTTGAGTTCATCACGTCGGGCGTCCAATTCAGAGCATCGATTCTCCTCAAACATTTTGACCTTGGCTTTCACCAAAGATCTCCACTCCGGTCGTCGAGCGGCTGCTTGCTCCCACTCTGAAGGCTCAATGTCGCACTTCGTCATGTGGCGCTTAAGTACATCTTTGTACCTGAGAAGTTGTCCGCCATGCTTACGCTTGCCCTTCTCAAGTTCAGAGAAAAAGATGCACTTAGCCGTACGCTGATCTGACATTCGCGATAAGTGTCCACACCAACGGAGTTGTCGCCCCATAAGGTAGGCTTCAATCCCCATGGTATAGGCTCTACGCAGCACTTCCGTATTCCGAATGCGATCAGACCAACGGTTGTTGAGAATTTTGCGCAGACATTGCAAGTGGAAGCGATCCAGCGTCCGTATATGACGGCGGTAAACTGTCCATGACTCTGAAGAGTACAGTATGTTAGGCAGCACTACCGCCTTATAAATACCAATTTTGGTAGCCAGCTTTAGGTCATGTGAGCCAAAGACCTTGCGATCCAGTTTACCGAATACCGCAGCCGCGGCACCGATTCGACTGTTGATTTCAGCATCAAGGTCACACTTTGATGTTATCGTGCTCCCCAGATAACGAAATGTATTGATCTGCTTAAGTATATCATCACCAAGTTTGACGGCCAGTGTCTCTTGACCGTAGATATCTAAAGACATCACTTCCGTCTTTTTAACACTTATCTTCAGACCAAAAATACGGCACGACTCATGAAAGGTGGTCACAAGCTGTTGCAGGCCAGCTGGGGAATCGGCCACAAAACATAAATCGTCTGCGTAGACGATCTCTGTAATAAGTGCGTAAGACACTTTCGTACGGGCCTTAAGTCTAGCTAAGCTGAAAAGATTGCCATCGTTGCGGAAACGAATGCGAATTCCATCATGGGTAGTTTTTAAGACTTCCTGGACTACAACTGCAAAGTATAACGCGAAAAGTGTGGGTGCAAGGACACACCCTTGTTTTACTCCACAGGTAACGGGAAAAAATTCTGACTGATCAGCGTTTACAGCGACGCAGCTCTGCATGCCATCATGCAGGAGTCTCAGAAGTCTCACAAACTTCTCCGTGCATCCAATTTTCCGCAGCACTATCCAGAGGGCTTCACGTGGTACACTATCGAATGCCTTCTCAAGGTCTACAAAACAGAGATACATATTACGACCCTGTTCTCTGCATTTTTCCTGTAGTTGACGTAATGAGAAAATCGCCTCACAGGTACCACGGTCAGGTCGGAAGCCGAACTGGGATTCCGGCAAAATCCTTTCAGAAAGTTTCCTGAGGCGGTTTAAAAGAAGTCTGGCGAAGACTTTTCCAGGCACTGAAAGTAGAGAAATGCCACGGTAAGAATTGCAGTTTGACCGGTCACCCTTGCCTTTATATAGGGCTCGTATGAGGGATACCTTAAAAGTATTAGGGACTTGTTCTTTTTCCCACATAATGACAAAAAGTTCCCATAACGCTGAATACAAATCCTCACCGCCATACTTCAATAATTCACCCGGTATAAAATCAACACCAACCGCGCGTTTATTTTGCTGTTGCTTAATGGCAAGAGCAACCTCGCCAGGCGAGATTGGCTCATCTAGCTCGAGGGCGAAAGGTTGTTGAGGTAGGCAGCGAACGTGGTCTAGGTCAACAAAATGATCCACGTTAAGTAGGGTGTTAAAATGCTCCGCCCATCGCCCGAGTATTTCCTCCCTGCTTTTAAAAAGCGCTCCACCACTAGTTGACTTCAGTGGAACTTTTGCCATAGAGGACGTACCGAGTAGATGTCGCACCTCAGCATAAAACTCACCGAGCTGGTTGGTATCAGCGAGCCACTGCATCTGACGAGCCTTCTCCTGCCACCACTTGTCTTTCGCTTGTCGTGCGAGTTTGCGCAGCTCCAGATCACTTTGACGCAACTCCATAGCACCTCCACTCTGATGAGTTCTACTGTGCTGCTTTAGGAGCCTACGGTGTTTATCAATAGCGCCTGTAAGTATCCTCATCTCAGTATCATCATTCTCATCAAACCAGTCCTCATGTTTTCGAACTCTCAAACCCAAAGTAGATTTAGCAGTGTCGAGAACACAAGAAGATAGAGACTCCCAGACAACATCGATCTCACCTAATTTTAGATCGAGGGGCTGCAGAGCAGTGTTCAAGGTTTCGGCATATTTAGCCTTCGTGTTAGTATCTTGGAGTCGTTCGAGGTTCAGACGTATCTGTTTAGATCTTCCCACTCTACAAGGAGGTGGAAGACGAAGATTTAATTTAATAATAACAAGCCGGTGATCAGTCCAACAATGAGCACCACGCATGACACGGGTGACTTGGACTTGAGATATGTCTTTTTGACGCACGATGGCGTAATCGATAAGGTGCCAATGTTTCGATCTGGGGTGCATCCACGTTGCCTTGTACTTGGCAGGCAGTCTGAACATAGTATTTGTAATTGCAAGATCCAATTGTGCACAAAGACTAAGCAACAATTGGCCGCTGCTGTTCATTTTACCAACACCATGTCTGCCGAGAACTTTAGGCCAGGCGTCATAGTCTCGTCCTACTCGGGCGTTAAAGTCGCCCATGAGAAGGATTTGCTCTCTTGGACGAATACGATTTACGCACCGCGTCAATTCTTCGTAGAATTTATCCTTAATATCATCAGACTTGTCCAGCGTAGGGGCATAGACACTGATGATATTAAGATAGCTTTCACGTTCCATGTGAAGGCGCAATGTGGTAATGCGGTCCGAGATGTGTACAGGGTACTCTTGCAGTTGAGCAGCAAGGTAGTTCTTGACAGCAAAGCCTACACCAGACCTTCGCGGCTCCGAGGAAGCGAGTCCTTTCCAAAAGAAAGTATACCCGCCGCCATATTCTACCAGCTCTCCTTCCTCGGGGAGGTGTGTTTCGCTGAGTGCAGCCACATCAATATTATAGCGACTTAGTTCCCGAGCTACAATGGCAGTTTTTCGCTCAGGGCAGGCATTTGCTTCGCGGTCCAGAAGTGTGCGCACATTCCACGCGCCAAATGTCATTGATTTTGATAAATTAAATTTTCCATTATTTTTCCTGTAGCGCCGACCGCGAATTTATGATGCGGAGGCAGCCGCGGTTGCTACCATCCTAAAGGGGTTGGAGTGAGCATTTGTTTAGGGCACCTTTTCTAGCCCCCTCCCCGTCTGAGCGAGGAAAGCAGTGCCTCCCTGAATAGGGCTGCTTTGTCACCTTGGGTGCTGCCGAGTCCGCTCTGTCACCCCGTTGCAGAGCAGAAGCGACCACGATGTACACTACACCCCCAAGACCGCCTACGTGCAGGAGTCAGACAAAACTCAACGGGCATCACGTCAAGCCTCTCTACCTCCTCCCATCGCCGTAGGACATTGGTTATAGATCGGAGTCCTATTTGGAAGCAGGTCAATTGCGCAGGACATATTAACGTGCACAAGTGTACGCGCGGACACAGGTGCACATACTCGTCTTTGCCCCTCTGGACCCAGTGGAACGGAGACCGTTACGACCGGAGAGGGACTCGGACAGATGGAACAGTAGGTATATCAGTGAAAAAGGTACAGGGGTTCAGTCCTTTTCCACACTCCCTTAGTCGCCTTCTACGACACCCACAGGTAGATATGGGGTGGTGGTATTCTACTCCGCCGCACACCACACGGCAAGGCAGCCTTATGATGGTAAGTAAAGTGTAGGGCAGACAAGGTCAGCCCATGTGTCAACGTAGTAACAGATTCAGGGCGTGAAGGTGGCTTGATGCTTTTTTGGCAATTCTAGGAGGAGGCATATGTTCATCAGTGAACTTGTGAAGGACTGTAATGATGATTACATCATTGATATCAGTAAAAGTAACTTATTATAAAAGTTTAATTTTAGACCGTAATTACGGTTGAGAAATGATACTTCCTTAAGCGAGGAGATTGTAATAAATTATTGTCAGCCGAAGCTCAGCTGCAAAGAAACTCTTTTTCCGAGCAACCCTATTTATTTTAACACAAGGTAGTTAATGGTTTTATAGATAAATATGAAAATGTTAAGTAGAATTAATATATCTATTTCTTTTTTATTTCATTTCATTTCATTTTGTATGATTTTATGTGAGAAGTTCATAATAAAAATTACTTGTATTAACTTTTTCATCCCTTTTCTATGTATCAATTTTAATCCTAGTGTGTTAGGGAGGCCAAGAATTATAATGACTTTTTATATTGACGTGAATTCTAAACATATAATGAAACCACTTTAATGGATTTTATTGTGTTAATTTTATAATCTCTAAAATTCAATTCTTACTGTGTATAAAAAGACCCCTACTAATCGAAATTTAAACGGTGAATCTCCCCACCATCCTTCAGAGTTAGCTAGCAGCTGTAGGAAAATCTTTGTATCAGACAGTACAAGGAATTTGTAACAGTAAACACCTGGTAGCCACTTTGGGTCCCACGCCTATGTCACAATGACCTAGTGAAAACGGCCACAGTCGAGCGTGTGCCTGCTGTTCTACATCTTCATCTTGTAGTATGTTCGTATACAAGCGGACCACCATAAGAACATACCACAAGCCGCCGAAGATGTCAATAAACATAATAAAATATTAATCATATAATTTACATATTACATAGACCATATAATAGGCACATATGTACATATGCACAGGTTATACAAAGTAAACATGTTCATTTGTTTATATTTTGATGAGTGTAAATACTAAAATATGAATAAATAAACAATGAAAAAGTTTAAATAATAATAAATAAAAAATAAAAAATCATATCAACTCATAGTTTTTGCAGCAACCTGTATAGGTACAGCTTCTGCTAGATAATCCGAGCGCTCACTAAGAACGATCTAATTGTCTCGCCTGCACTTCATTAATTAAAACATATGTACGTATTTAATTTTATTGTCAATGGTTGTAAGTAGCCATAGATTAGATGATTGTATTAATTATTACCTTGCATTATATGTGAGACTGTAACTTGCGAACAAACCTCACGGTTTTTTGCAATTCAAAAAGATCTTACCCTTGTAACTATTAAAACCTTACAAATAAATTAAAAAAAAAATAGAAGATTAGTCTACTTTTACGATTCATCAAGCGTATTATCCTTGTACAAGACGCGCACGAGTAATTTTTGTGATTTCAATCGTTGATTGTGAATGTGTTCTCTCTTAGGAAAAAACAAAAATGCAAAAAAAAAATAACAGTGATATTAAAATAACATCATAATTTCAATAGAAAGGATGGCTGGATGCTACCATCTGCTTGGGATCTCATAATCAAAAAAAAAAAATCCAAACCCAAGCATACTAATGCAAGAGGTCGTTCTGAGTAACATCGATCAAAAAAGTTAACAATTAAAAGTTGAAGGTAGCCTTCGTTAACTATGAAATCAGGACTTCAAACACCATAGTCCACACATGACCATGGTTGCTGTAAAATAACCGAAACGTCAGGAATTAAAAAAGTAAAATTAAACGCGATAAAATAAGCAATGATAAAACGCAATAGCCAAGTATTGTACAAAACTTCCATGAATTAATAATTATTTTTAGCTAACATTTAATTTCCTTGAAAATCTTGTAACTTGTAAAATCAAAACTAACAGCTACTGTTTAGAATTTTCTAAAGCATCAAAATCAGTAAACTTTCAAAAAAGTTTGCAGCATGATTTTGTGGCTAGAGTTTACTAATATTTTTAGTTGATTACCGTAACTTTGTGAACTTCTTTTGGAGTAAGTAATATAGGTATGTTCAAGTTATGAAACCCACCGCCGCAAATTTTTCTAAAAGGATATTGCTATCCACGGTATCAAAAGCTTTCCGAAAGTCGAAGTAGGCCACATCCACCTGCCCCCCAGGGTCGATAGCTTGTGTCAGGTATGTCAAAAATGACAGCATGTTACTTGCTGTGCTTCAACCGGACCGAAAAACATGCCGATAGTAGCATTCTCGGAGACACAGGTTAATGACGTGAAGCAGAGGATTTTCAAAAACAGAGCAAAAGTATTTGGCTATGTAAGGTGGTATACTGTCAGGGCCTACAGAGCACTTACGCTTGAGACACGCTCAGCTGGCTCACTGCACACGAGCTGCGCCAGCACGCGGATCCACCGCATGCTTCGCCGCTTCCTGGTACTGTACCGGCCGCGTCTTGCTATACATAGATTAAAAATAAGACGCGAAACATTGCGCACACGACTGATCACTAAACTCTAGACCGTTTTTGTTACTCGAGATTTGTTACGTCTAGACTGCTTACATCTTACGTAATTCCAAAAATATTTCGAATCGTCCTTAAAATTCAGCTGTAATTTCTCCTGTTAGGCTTCATAATTGACTTTTAACTTATATTTTATAATAATAATAACTATAAACACACATGCCTGTCACCCAGAGGGATAGACAGAGACTATGGACTTCCATTTAGCACGATCCCGACACACCTTTCTCGCTTCCTCCACATTCATATACCTACGCATACACGCTCATCGGTTAAAGGTACTTCTACACGCCCCTAGCTGCCCTGACAATGGTCGACCATAGAGGGGCCCATACAGCTGTAAATTCGACGGACAACTAAGGGTGGGGCCCAACGGCCTATAGAGACTTATTATTCCACACAATAGATATAAGGCTAGGTAATTAATAAGAACGTACCTGCTTCCGAAGCTAAGGCTGACCCCAAGGCTCGGTCAGGCGGTAGGTAGGTGCATCTAAGTAGTGTGTTAGAAGGTGTGTATGTGTGATCTGACCTAACCGACGTGATCGGGCAGCGGCCTGGTCCGATGCTGCCCCACGATGTGGTATCACTCCAGCGGACATCACCAATTGACAACTTTCACTAACGTCACCAATTGACCATTTCACTATTTCAGTTTATCCACTTTATGGTACACTATTTCAATCTATCAACTTTATTGTACATTTAATTAACTTCAAAGTCAACCAATTCAACGTTCATCGAAATCAAACACGTGACACCCGACACAAGTAACGAACAGTCATTCAAAGTTCAATATTCAATGTTCCGGGTTCATTTAGCGCCAAATTACAAACAGGAACGAACGCGATCTCTTCTCGAGTCACAAAGTTCAGTGTTCCAAACAACAAACTAAATTCCTTCGTACGATATTAAATACTACGCCCGAAATAAGAACTCAAAATCAGCCTAGCTGACATGCAAACTAACTACATAGTCAACACACAAAAGGCACTTAACGCGACGGTACAATTCAACATTAACTATCAAAAATAATTAACTGGGCCACGCTCTCGAAATGCAATTCGAGCATCAAATTCCTGACCGTCTGTCCACTCGGCGTGCGTGCAAGGTTCCACGTCACACTAACAAGTTAAATATTGCATAATGCACTTCAGTAACTACTTTAATCAATCAAACTCAATACAAGCCTCTTGTCACGAAACGTACAACTTAGACAAACTAATTCGACACGAAACCCAAGTTCAATAGTAAATTAAACGCGCACAAATACTCAAATTCTAGACCACAAAACCAAAAACCTGGGCGCGCGAAACCGATGCAGCGGTCACAACAAAATACGCTAATCGACAGAGCCGCTGCTGTCAAGCTACTGACTTCGCATTCGCGTCCTGCGCTCGCGCCCTCTGCCGAGCGACCCACACGGAAGTGGAGCGACGGTGACCTTTAGAAAGTCAGTGGGAGGACACGAGTGTTGAATGCGAATACCAAATATTAATTTTTTGGCCTAAACGGTACACTTGATTTGGCCCATTTTCAATATATCGCCAATTTGGTCCATAAACTTTCGCCTAGGGTGTCCTTCCCGGCTCTTCCGTTCACCTCTGCAACATAAATTTGATTTGTCACTCTTTCCACATTCAGTCTTTCTACATGACCAAACCACCGAAGCATTCCTTTCTTAATCCTGGTCACAACATCATCTTGCTTGTCAAGATGATGTTGTGACCAGGAACCGCTTCTCACATTGTGCATTGCACCTGTTATTTTATACAGTTTATGATAACTCCACTTTCGCTTTATAT